TAGTGGAGTCAGCGGGACATTGCTCACCTACCGACCGTATTGTTACTGCGGGACTACTGCGTTGTCTCGAGCGGAAACTTCTTCAAGGCTTCTCTTTTTTTTTTATCATCTCATCTCGGAAGCCTTGCTGTCGTCGGTCTTTCCTATTTGGTAACTTTCTGTATTGCACTGTAATTTGCAAGGGCTAGGGAAAAAATAACGCTACGGTGCACAAAATTCCGGGAGAGGTGGTACGGCCCCCGAAACGTGACCTTGACGGGATCTATATTCCTCAGTCAACTCTGAGGAAATGTAATTAATGGGTACACGATCTCTCGTTCGATACAAAAAAAAAACAATCCTTCCATTGCTCTTGTTGAGTAATGAAGGTTTTGTTGTCTCGCGCTGGGGGTAATAATGTACTCGGGTGCTGCCAATTTTGACCAAAATCAACATCACCACCCTAGCTCCGTACAGTATCATGCCACAGTTTCATTGCCTAGCCCTGTACAGTACAGTACAAGCACTGTATGATAGTGTATCATACTTGGGAACAACGCAATACTGTGATAACTTGGCCACAAAGAAACGTGCTCTCCCTCACCTCGCCAAGCCATCACAAGTTTTACCTCCTCTGTGGCAATGACTACTCCCCTATCAAATAAAGCGTGACCCCCGCTCTAGTCATTAAGTCTCACCCACGCTCTGCTGCCCTGTAATTTCTCCATTTAGACGTGCTCGAGTACCCTACCTTACAGATTCTGTACAACGCCAAGTTATAAAAACGGCCAGTTGACACAAGAAAGAACCCTTTAATCTTCCCGAAAGAGCATTCGACGCAAGATCAAGCCGTCCATCCCCTGGAGAAGGCACCTTCCGGCTCCGGGGGGGGGCGACCCGGAATTTTTCCTATTTAGCGTTACCGTATCACGCTGCCCGGGGCTGGCCGGGGAACGGGGAGGGAAAAATAAGGCTATAATCCACGTTATTGGGCACCCATAGTCTGCGCTGACACCAATTATCCCCGAATATCATCCCACGGAGCCCAAGAGCACTGGCGATATTACAGTACCCAACCGTCAGGGTGGCGGGACAGTACCGTATTTACTACTGACGGGATACCCCTGACCCACCCAGAATCGCACCCCGGTGCGCGGGTGGCGGGAAACCTTTATGAGATGGCAGCCCGCGGCTTTATCGTCTGGGGAACAATAATGGCAATAAATAGATAAATAACTATTCCTTGCGAACTATCCATCCTACCAAACTTAAAGCCTCTTTTCACCAGATTTGGAGAAGATATCGCATACGGGAATAAGCACACGCTCTCTCTATCCAGAGAAATCGATTCACTTTTCGGCATTTGATTGCAAGAACTCTCAAGTATAGCATGTGCCGTACCAGTACGTGGCGCGTGCAACTTTATGGAAGGGGTCTAGAAAAGTAAAACTCCGAGCGAAAATGCCGATACGGACAACAACACATGAGCATAATAGGAAATAAAAAGAAAATATAAATAACCTTGCTTAAGCTTCACGGGCCGGAACAACCTTATGCGCAGGGACAGCGTTCAGCCCCGAGAAGGAAAAATCGACAACCCTTGTTCCGGCCTTCCAATCCATCTCGTGAGACCCATCCGTATCGGCGGCAATGAGAATATCCCCGCCCCTTCCCCGCCACTTCTGGCCAGTCCCTGGAATGGTCATAATGCCTTCGGAGGAGTTAACATCAGCACAGACCACCAAAACCGCGCGTGCAAGCAACAATAGCATAGTGGGAAAGATGGAGGGAGGCGAAAGCGAGTTGGATGGGGGGAAAGGGGGACAAGTAACACCTTCACCAGCGATAAACACGATCAGCGAGACGGTCGGTGGTGCGTGAGGTGGCTGGTGATATGCGCCCTTGATATCGAACTGAAAGCTCTCGGTAAAATTGCCCCATGGGATCAAGCTGGCCGTCTCCAAGCCGGGTACGGATGGGACGGCATATTTGAATTCCCAGCACTGGAATAGCGCAAGCTTCGTTCCGTCTGGGTTCCGCTCCGTCTCGGAGGATACAACGGCTGGGATGACGAATGCGTCAGGGGAAGACGGTTCCGGACACCGATGCCAGTGGGTGGTTTCTCCGCCGTCGAGAGTTTTCCGCTCGGTGTCCACGAGAGCGCACGCAGGGAGTAGGAGGGAAAGGGCAGAGAGACGCATTTGGGATATGTATGTAGAAGGAGAGGGGAAGGGGCTCCGTTCAATTGATTCGTTTCTATGTACCCAGCTCTCCCCAATTTAAAAATCGGATGTCCGATAAATAGAGAGTGAGATTCTATGAAAAAAACGCTAATTTCCATGAAAATGATGACTACGCACATATCCCCTCCCCAGCGACAGCATTGAGCCTATTTAACCAGTCATCATAATACCCTATGAATTGCAAAACTTCATCATCCAATCCAGCTTAGTTGCGGGGGGGGGGGGTTCTAGTATTTATTCCACGACGATCTGTGCTACGATGTTCGCTGGGCACTACTATGGTTGGCCGTTACTCCGGGTTTCGGACGGGGGACGAGCAGGTGATGATTACTCGGTGCCCGCTTAACCGGCCCAAAAAGGCTATCGGGGTGGCTTCGACGAGAACGCCGAAGCCACAATACCTCTGGAAATGGCTTATTGCGTGACAGTGACTCAGCAATGCTCTTCACGCCAAGCCCATATTCGTTACCAAATATCCATAGCCACCAAGGTTCGAAGGGGGCACAACCACTCCTGTTTTTTCCAACGTCGCACGTAAATAATCTGGCACCAGGGGTCCCACGTTCGAGAGGGATTTGGCGATCATAGTAGTAAAAGAAGAAGAAAAAATTCCCATTAAACTCCATAACTTGTTCTCACTGTTCTCGCCTGGTTAGGCTCCCAGAGCCTTGCATGAATGGCGCAGACGTACTTGAACGACGCTAGTTTGAAGCTTCATAACCCCATCACTCGTCCCGAATCCGTCCTGACTGACCCGGGTTCCCCCACTCCTCTGCACCCCTTCCTTAGAACCACCGGTTTTATCCCGCACCGACACTTCCCTCGCCATCCTCTCGACGCATTATTGCCAGATCGAACCGAACGAACGAAAACAAACCGTCCTCCAGGGCGCCTGGTAAAATCGGACCCTGAGTCTCTTCCATCATTCCTACAAACCGGGGTGAGTAAGCCATGTCAGGAACTCCCCATCCCCCCCCTCCACCCCCAAGTTGGTTGGCTCTTTACGGGAAAGATACCCACGCGGGGTGATATGAGCCCCCCAGATCCTACTTGTCCCATGTAACTACTTGCGTCTAAGATTGAACCCCGGAAAGAAAAAAACCAAATATAAGAATTAACGAGTAAGAAGGGGGGAAAGGAAGAAGAAGAAGACCCCGTCCCTGCTTCAAGGTTAGCATTAGGCTATTATTTCCTGTCAATTGGAAGGAGAAGAAGGGAGAGACGAGAATATCCTCCTCACTGTGTAGCCTTACTCAAGCAATCCGTCAATCAAACATTGCCACTATCATAACCAGAACCCCCACCACCAGTAAAGGTACCATCATAAGTCAACAATTTAAAGATTACCCCCCTCCCCCCCCCAAAAAAAAAAATCCCCATCCCCCATGTTTCATTCCTGTAATACCTACGGTGCACTACTTCGATCCCAACCCCCTGGGCCACTACTTGTACATCCACAATACCGGTATGCAGGGCCCATCTCACCTTTCCCACACCCCACAGCTACACACACACATATACCCAGCACATACGCACACACATCTATCATACATACATACATACATACATACATACATACATACATACATACATACATACATACATACATACATACGGTACACCTCCATACTTGCACTCGTACAGCCAGCGGGACAGCCAGTCAACCAATTATGGCAATACCAAGCATGAAAAGAAAAGAAAAGAAAAATACCAGTAGATCGGATCGACCGTATAAACTTCCTCTTTTTCAAACCAAGAGGGGACGTCCTTCACTATGTTCCCCCTCCCTCCCCCCCCTCCTTCCCCAGGTGATGCCATGGAGTTGATCCTGCATTGATCTGACCAGGGTTATCTGGTTGGTAGATCAGTTTCGCCTTTTGGGTGGCTGCCCGTACGAGTATATCTGCCATGCTTTTTTTATTTTTATTTTTATTTTTATTTTTATTTTTATTTTTTGCTTTTGCTTTTGCTTTTGCTCTTTCGAGTACCTTTCTGTATGTGTGTGCGTGCGTGTGGGTGGCTTGTTGGTTGGTTGTCCAGAAAGCACTAAACTTGAATAACATATGGCATACCGGGTTTACTTGGTATGATATGTTAAAAAAATCTGGTATGAAAGGGGGAGGAGCAGGGCGTTTGGTGACCTGGGGGGGGGGTTTCGCAGGTTCCCGGTAGGTAAGATAGGAGAATTTTAGAGGATTAAGGAGTGAAGAAAGAAAAGAAAATTTTTTTGAACCTCCCAATTATGATTTTACTCTTTGGAGCCTTTATCGACAGAGGAAGGGAGGGGAAGGGTAGTGGATGAGTAGAGGTACAGCGGGTTTGTGCATTATGTGGAAACTCTTTTAGCTACTGGTTACCGGTATGCGGAGCGACTTCCGGTTCACGAGGGATATTCTCGTAGGGTTGTGAGTAATTGGGAGATATCTTCAGCATAAGGTTACATAGGTCGTCCCACTACGTGGGGGTCACTTTTCTCAAAGTTTTGGCTCTGCAGGAACCTGCAGACCGTCTGCCGGTACCAAGCTCAGCTATTGAGGATGTCCTACCTAGTTAAGGTTAGGGGTTTTTTTTTCTTTCGGAGCTGGAGTCCTTTGCTTATTACTTATATCTTCCGGACCTGAATGTTGGTAAGACTACTATCAAATCCGACGACTAAAAAAAAGCAAACTATCTGTCGAGGAAATCCTTGGCAGCGACACGCTAGTCCCAATATGTTTCACAAATATACAAACATTGCTGGAAAGAGTGGCTCTTGAGACAATTTGGTACTTGTAGTGATTTGCACAAAGTAAATATTGCTTTTTCATAACAATAATCTCCATAACATTCAAAAAGATATCTCGATAAGAAACTGCCGTATCGAGCAAGCCCAACTTGAATAAATGCAACTACTTCTTCAAGTCATCATGGTCAGTGGAAGAAGAGAGATCCTTCCATTCCCTCATAGTCTGCAAAGTCTCCTCCGACCTAGCGCTGATGAAAGCGATAGCATCTGAGCCAATGGGCGTACGGACAGGGACCTCCTTCCCAGCGACTCTCCCGGACTTTGTCAGGATCTCGACAATCAGCTGGGCGCCCTTCTGCGGGTCACCCGGTTGAGCTCTGTCGTACGTGTCGAAGGTGTTCCTGATGGGCTCCATAACAGGGTCGTAATCGGCGATCCGCACAGCAGTCGGGGTCCTGTGTCCTGGTGCCAGGAAGTTTGTGCGGAAGTAGCCGGGTTCGATACAGACAGCGTCGATGCCCAGGTGCGCGACCTCAGCCTTGATGGACTCTGTGATACCTGCAAGGGCGAACTTGGTCGAGCAGTAGAGCCCCGCTCCCTGCGTTCCCCTAACGCCGCCGATGGATCCCATGTTTGCGATAGTACCACTCCTTTGCGCGCGCATATAGGGCAAAACTGCGCGGATTACCGTCAGGGACCCAAAGACATTGGTGTTGAAGATTTTGAATACTTCTGCTGCGCTGCGAGTTTACACTTTACGTTAATCACTCTGATCTCTATTATTCTTGGAGTGGGTAGAGACCTAAAGAAGGTAAAGGTAAAAAGAGAGGGGAAAAAAGTAAATAAAACATGATGTGTGCATTTGGGTGTAACATACCTGGATTCCTCTACGGTTCCCTCCAAGAGGTAGGCGGCGTTGTTGACCAGAATATCTATCCGTCCGTGCACAGAGTTTGCATTTGCGATAGCTTTTTTGATATTCTCTTCTGCGTCGCAGATATCGAGAGCTAGGGTTACGGCTCCCAGCGCCTTTAGGTCATCGATCCTCTTCGGGTCACGAGCCGTTGCGACCACCTTATCACCGTTCTTCAGGGCAGCCCTCGCGAGCAAGCCGCCGAAACCGGAGGAGCACCCCGTGATGAGCCAAACTTTTGGAGACATATCTTTATTTTTTACCTGGATTGCTCAAGTCAGGATCGAAGTAGCCCGGGGGGTAAGGAACGGGGTTCATTAATAATGGTAAAATGGGCTCACGGTATAAAAGTGTTTGTCTTGTCGAGAAAGATCTATTATTCGGAGATGGGGGGTTTAGGTTTTAGGTTTTGTTTTTGATAGAGAGGTTAGGGTTTTGTTGCCTTTTTGTTTATTTGCGAGAAAGTGCGATGGATTCTAGCTAGAAGGATTCGGGAACAAAGATCAGGAAACCCCCTTTTTAAACCGCGAATTAAGCCAATATCAGCCTCTACCATCTCCATAGCGATCGTCAAAACACTCGTTATTTTCCACAGTTCTCCCTCTCTTGTGCGGAATTGATCACCGCGCCCGCTCTCGGCTCCGGTTCGTAACTCCATGATTTAATACCTTGTGGACCTTGATGGCCCCATAAATGTCCGCCCCTACGGCACAGAAACGGAGTTGTTGCAATCATCGATAGTTCCGGCCATGGGAAGCCAGCTCTGATCGGCGTTGCTGCAGCCTTATCTCCGATATTCTTAACTATCGGACAGAGAAAATGGGTCCACTCGAAGAGCACCTGGCGCGATATCAGTGGACAAAAAAAAAGGCATGGTTTCCCGTCTGACATATTTTGAAGATCACGTTATGAGAATGGAATTCCTGATGTAAATTCTTCCAGCTGCGAAATTTAGCTGGGGATATTAACTCGACTGAACCTACTCAAGTAAAGAAAGGACAAGAGAGAGAGCCCGATCTCCCCTTCCGATCTTCCCCCGCGAGAAAAAGTGGTTCACGAGATAGGCGGATGGTGGGAGATCTGGGTGGGGGAGCGGAATACGGCCACCAAACAAGACTAGTTGGATGAGCGGGAACGACCTTCCCTTACTCGGGTTTGTGACAATCCGAAGGCAAGCAAAAAAGAAAGAGATCCGGTTGTGACTCAAAGGGTATTTTAATTCACCATGCTAGTCAAGATGCAAAATGCAGAATAAGGGAAGAAGAAAAAGATGCAATATCACCACTACGATAATTTCACGGAAGGCTAATATATTTCCGTACCGGAAGATCCCACATACAGACAACAGATACTATAACAGCCCACAATCGATACCGGTAGTGTGGGGGGGGGGGCGATGGGCGATAGTGGTTAGGGTATACTCCACGATCATACATTCGATTCGATGATTCACATATAGATGAGATCCTACTTGAAAGAACATGCCGAATAGGTAGGACTCTATGCGCCGGGAGGGAGGGGTCTGGACCAAACAGACAGACACGAGGGGATCCGCCGACCCCAGACCCACCCATCATCAATCGTTATAGTGTACTGTACCTTCTCCATCACGCACCATTTTGAATCCTCTTTCCTTTTGCCTTCTTTTCATTTTTTTTTTTTTTCCGTCCGAAAATTATGTTCTGTCAAGAGGTATGATATCGGCTTGCTAGTCCCATTACAGTAGTTGCCTCATTGAAGCCAACGGTTATAGGGCTGTACTAATTGGTCGGTTGAATGGTTTCTCCGGGGCGGGACCTCGAGCACCGGTATGCACTGTACCTTTGCGTGCATGTGCAAGAGAACCCATGCGGAAGGACGCAGAAGCCAGAAGCGCGAAGACGAAACGAAGGAAGCCCACAGGACACCGGCAGGACAACCACCCAGAGGCCGCCTACCCTGCTAAACTACCTTCCACCTGTGTTCGATCGACAGACACAAAGTGCAGCACCCACCCCCACACAAATATATACATACACATGCACATAACACACACGCCGAGAAAATTCCGTGCCAGGTGAGAACCAGTAACAGCGGCAAACCAAGTCGGCAAGCAAGAAGAAAAGACCTACGATTATGCGTCTTGCTTCTCTTTCCACTTTTTTTTTCTTTTCCTTCTCCGGCAAACTGACACAATGCCTACGAATTCAATAGCACGGGTACAGCACGGTATTCACTACCCGTCATGGCACAATGGAAAACCTTTCAAGTATCATGCCATAGAAAACATGGGACTACGTATCTTTATAATACAGTACCATTCTTGGCAAAAACATACCATCCACGATGTTTCACATCGCAATGACAACAAAATATTTCTTGGGTGGGATCCCTCCCTTGTCCGAAAACATACCCAAAACATATCACTTCCAAGCGACAGCAGACCAATACACGGGAAGGCTCTCCAGCCAGATTTTAACTAAATTTGCATTTCCCTTTCCCCTTTATTTTTCGAATTTCTCTGAGATCCCGTGGTGTCAGGGTTTCACCCTTTCGATAGCACGTTTCCTGGACAATGTCGTCCCAAAAGGGTTGCTGCCAAGAGCATGGTACAGTACAGTGCCGGTACTCGAGTGCCGGTATGATACCTGAGTTGAATGGCTTTACCTAATTGACGGGCATTGTGTCACGGGGAGGGGGCAGTGAATACTGTTTACCCATGCTCTGGAATTCGCGGACATTGTGCCAGTTTTCCGTTCATCTTCCCTCTCCTCCTCCTCCTGGGCTGCGCCAGCATTACAAAACCTGCGCCGACGCGGCGTATGATACGACTAGGGATCTCTCTCATCTTCAGTTCCCCGTAACCTTTTCGTAGGAATGTAGAAGGAAGGGGAGAAGGAGGGAAGAAAAGAAAAAGAAAAAAAACAAGGCGAACTCCATGTGTTGGGGGATAAGGAGCCGTGTGCGTTGTACAGTACGATACCGGAGATACGATACTTGTAAAGTACGAGTACATTTACGGCCGTCCTTACCGTGATCCATGTTGTCTACCCTTCTCTAAGCTTTACTAAGGCATCTCGCTTTGACCCAGCTCGAAGCGGTATTTCATTTCAAGAGTTGCATGCTGTAGAGTACAGCACCTTGTCAGATATACGGTAGACCATACCACCCTTTCGGGTCCGGATGTACCAAACAAAAATTGTATGTTGAAGCGATTTGTGCTCACAATCCGGACACACACAGAGATGTGCGGAGGTGGGGTAAGTTGGAAATGGTGGGGGGGGGAGGGAGTAAGGAGGGCCGGGTGGCAGAAAACGCGGAGGGACAGGAGCGGTGCGTCAACGGTGGGACTGGGGAGGAGGGTGTGGAGCATGTCACGTTTTTTTAGGAGACCACTCTTTGGTCAAAGCTGTCTCGCCAATGACCACTCGGACACATAATCAAAAACTGAAATGTGGACGGGGAGCGGGTCCGGGAAACCCACTCCGCCGGTCTCCAAGCGACATTTCCCCGGGACTGGGAAAGTCTCGTTCGATAGATACAGGTCTCCTCCATCTACCCTACCACTCTCTCAACCGTGAAGCTCTGGGAATCGAGCATCACATCCATATCCAATCTGTACAGTACTCGGGTATGGTCATAAAAATCCGAAACTAAAGGTGGCAAAACAGGGATAAGGAGGATCGGGAGATAAGGTTGTCTGGAAAGAATAGAAGTGTTGCCAGACAGCTTAAAAAAGGATATTGTTGCATCGAGTGACAACAAAAGATTCTGGATTCTTAGTGAACTTTTTATCATACATGTTCCTTTCTGAGTCCTCAACAATACCTTCCTATGATCTTCTAACTCAATCATTTGTCCTAGAAGTATCTCCAATTTCTGATAAAATGCAGGTTACACTTCTTCAAGCTGGGAAATGCATGAAAGCCTTTCATAGAACAGGGAATGCTCGCGGCTGAAATTCCTGCGAGAATTGCACCTGGCCTGATTAAGGCTCAGCTCGTTCCTAGCCATCCCCGGAAGATTGATTTGCGCTTAGCTTACTGCGGCTTGTTTGTTTATTGAGTCCACATAGAACTCTCCAATGCATCTCCGTTAGTGAGCTAAGATGCCAAAAAATCTAAGGAATAATGAACACCCCTGGGCTGGTGGTGCAGCAGTGTTCAGCGCTTTGAATAGGCTAAGAGGACATCTAGGGACACTTGCTTAGAGTTACCAACCTTGTTTGCGAACTTCCAATTAAACAAAGTATGTGAATTCGCTTTGTGGCCAGTTCAAAGTGTTCATTATTCCCAATACTCATACTAAGAAATTCAAAAGTCTTTGCTAACTATACTTTTACATGAGATTGTGAACGTGAATAAGTTAATAGAGGGTAGGGGAAATACTGTGATTCGAACCCAAGGGGAAGAGAGAAAAAGAAAAGATATAAAGATACTTATAGGATAAGAAATATACAACCAATAACTTAGGAAACTGAGATAAGAATACTATAGGAGTAAGAATAATCAAAGTAATAACAATAACAATAATAATACTCATACAAAAATAATATAAAAATAAAAATAAAATACTTAGAACAGTGTATGGCCACCATTGACCTCTAAAGTGTAGAAATGCAATCGGGCATTGAGGTTGTCAGGTTTTGAATATCTTTGAGAAAGATGTTCTGCCATTCCTGAAGAATGGCGGTATGAAGATCAGGAATGGTGCTTGGGTATGGATTAAGGTTCATGATACGGCGCTTTAGAAGACACCATATACCTTCGATCGGACTCATAGAGGAAGAGCTTGTAGGCTAAGGGAAAAGGTAGTTTTCAAGGCCAATCTCCCTCAGAGTATCTTGAGCAATACGGGAATGATGAGCGGGAGCATTATCCTGTTAAATATAGATATATCCAGAATTTGCACTACCAATAGAATGCAGGTACTGCCACCAAGGATGTAAATGAGGCCGGATAATCTGGCCAGCGTAGGTAGACTCATTAATCTTTCCCCAGTTCGGGATATCTCAAATAACCAGAGTACTCTTCTGATTTCGGTAAATGGCCCCCCAAACCATGATAGTTGTAAGGCTTGGAAGGCTTGGGACGAGACAGTCTTCCACATATTCTTCACTAGGACGATGGGTAACGCAAATGGTTCTGGTAATCTCATCAACAGAAAACACACACTCATCAGTCCAAATCACATCCATCCAGTCTTCAGCTGTCCAATCACAGAAGTACTCCCCCCACTCCTGACGGCGAGTCCGACTATTGTCAGAAAGAAAGGGCTTGTGTAACAATCCCTCTTCAGATAGTTAGTTCTTGGCAATGGGGAACGATACTTATCTTTTCTTTCCCTTTCTTTCTTTGTCTTACGATAGTCTTAGGCCTCTGCCTATGTTACCGATAGTACAAGACCTTTGTCTTCTATCGGAAACACCTATCGTAAGCTTTCTCTAACTTGTCTTCGTAACGAGTACTTCTTATCGTAATGATATCGTTGCAATAAGGATAAAGATCGTAAAGGTGTGTTATATTCGTTAAAGTAATAAGTAGGAAAAGTACTTAGAACAAAGCGTGAAGAACCTATCTTCCTCGGCCGCATCGGCCTCCTTATATAGTGTTCTTCCCGCTTTTAATCATGTGACCTAAAGTGGTCACATGTGCAAAACCAAATGAAAACAAACTAGTC